GCCTGTAAGGTGACTGTTACCATATATTGTCTGTGTTCCTTTCTGGTCTATGTTGCTTTTAGGGTCTCTCTTTGCTTAGAGGACCCCTTTCAAGATTTTCTGTAGGGCTGGTTTTGTGTTTGCAAATTCCTTTAGTTTTTGTTTGTCCTGGAAGCTTTTTATCTCTCCTTCAATTTTCAATGACAGCCTAGCTGGATAGAGTGTTCTTGGCTGCATATTTTTCTCATTTAGTGCTCTGAATATATCCTGCCAGTCCTTTCTGGCCTGCCAGGTCTCTGTGGATAGGTCTGTTGCCAATCTAATGTTTCTACCCTTGTAGGTTACATATCTCTTCTCCCGAGCTGCTTTCAGGATTTTGTCTTTGTCTATGAGACTCGTAAGTTTTACTATTAGATGTCGGGGAGTTGACCCATTTTTATTGATTTTGAGAGGGGTTCTCTGTGCTTCCTGGATTTTCATGCCTGTTTCTTTCCCCAAATTAGGGAAGTTCTCTGCTATAATTTGCTCCATTATACCTTCTGGCCCTCTCTCTCTTTCTTCTTCTTTTGGGATCCCAATTATTCTAATGTTGTTTCGTCTTATGGTATCGCTTATCTCTCGAATTCTGCCCTCGTGATCCAGTAGTTGTTTATCTCTCTTTTTCTCAGCTTCTTTATTTTCCATCATTTCATCTTCTATATTACTGATTCTCTCTTCTGCCTCATTTATTCTAGCAGTTAGCGCCCCCATATTTGATTGCACCTCATTAATAGCCTTTTTGATTTCTACTTGGTTGGATTTTAGCTCTTTTACTTCTCCAGAAAGGGTTTCTCTAATAACTTCCATGCTTTTTTCAAGCCCAGCTAGTATCTTTAAAGTGATGATTCTGAACTCTAGATCTGACATCGTACTAATGTCTGTATTGAGTAGGTCCCTGGCAGTCGGTACTACCTCTTGTTCTTTTTGTTGAGGTGATTTTTTCCGTCTTGTCATTTTGTGCAGAGGAGAATAGATTAATGAGAGAACAAAATGCTAGCAGAATAACCACGTCCCCAGAAAATATACTCTAAACAAATCAGAAAAGACCTGAAGCAGTGGGATAAGAAAGGGAAAGAGAGAAAAAAGAAAAAGAAAAAAAAAAAAAAGATAAAGATAAAAACAAAAACAAACAAAACAAAACAACAACAACAAAAGGAAAACCAGAATGTGATCAAATATGATCTATATGGTATATAGATCAGTGCCACACACTAGATTTGGGGTGTATTTTGGTCTTTTAGAAGAAAGTGCCTCCCAAAATTTTAAAGAAAGAAAAACTTACATATGTACAAAAATAAGGGTTGATATGATGAAGAGATGGAATATGACTGTAAAGATGGAAATTATACAAAATGTTATAAAAGGAATTGATAAGAAGTTGTTTGAAAAAAGAAAGAAGAGGATTTAAAAAAAGAAAAAAGAAAAAGAGAAAAAAAAAGGGAGAGGATGTGATCAGGCAGGGGAATAGAAAGCACCAGATCCTAGAGATTTAGGGTATATTTTAATCTGTTAGAAGAAACTATCTCAAAATTTTAAAGAGAGAACAACTTATATATATAAGCCAAAAATATGGGTAACTACTATGAAGGGATAGAATATGACTCTAAAAATGAAAAATAAAAATTTTTTTTTTTTTAAAAAGGGATTGATAAGATGTTGGTTGAAAAAGGGAAAAAGAAAAATTCAAAAAGAAATAATAAGACAAAAAGACAGTTAAAAAAATTAACTTTAAAAGACTAAAGAATCATGGTAAAAAAGCCGTGGATTCTATGTGCAGTAATCCCCTAGCGCTGGAGTTCTGCCGTTCTTATTGATCGGTAAACTTGGTCTTGGCTGGCTGTTCTCGCTGATCTTCTGGGGAGGGGCCTGTTGCCGTGGTTTCCAAATATCTCTGCCGGAGGCGGAATTGCCCCGCCCTTGCCCCCTCCCGGCTAAGTAATCTGCTCGGGTTTGCTCTCCGGGGCTTTTGTTCCCTGTGAGGTTTCCGTACAGCTTTGGAGGCGGAGAGTGAAAATGGCGGCCTCCCAATCTCCGCTCCAGAGGAGCCGAGAACTCGGGGCCCCGCTCCTCAGTGCGCCCCCAGAGAAAAGCAGTCAGTCACTCCCGTCTCCCCGCTCTCCGGCTGCACTCCGTGCTCACCCGGCCTGCGACCGCGCGCCTCTATCTCTGGCACCCGACCCCGGGTGGAGTCTCCAAACCCGGCAGATCCCTGCGGTGCCCTCCCGCACGGCTCCTCCCGGGGGAGGAAGGTGAGTCTCCCCGGATCTGCCGCTTGTTGGGTCCCTGCTGGAGGAGCAGGGGCCCGACTGGGCCGTGGATCACGGTTTATGGCAACCCCGAGCTGAGAGCCCGCGCCAGGGCTCTGACTCTGCAGCCGGCTTCCCTGCTCTGATACCTGGGAGCTCTGCCGCACTCAGGCACCCCCGGTCTTCCTGTGACCCCGAGGGTCCTGAGACCACACTGTCCCGGAGGGTTCCACCCCCCGCTTAGCCACTAGAGTGACATCCCTCAGCGGAGCAGACTTTTAAAAGTTCTGATTTTGTGCTCCGTGGTTCTATCAGTTGCCAGAAGCGGCTGATGGAGGCCCCTCCCCTGCCGTCTATCCTTCCGAATATCGCCTCGGATTCACTTCTCCGCACGTCCTACCTTCCAGAAAGTGGTCGCTTTTCTGATGAGAGAGTTGTTGCTCTTCTTTTCTTCAATCTCCTGTTGGGTTTGTAGGTGTTCAGAATGGTTTGATCCCTATCCAGCTGAATTCCTGAGAGGAGACGAAATCCAGGTCTCCTACTCCTCCGCCATCTTGCTCCGCCCACTATGCCAGTTACTCTTAATATAACCTCTTTAGTTGAAATATACGACTTTTTATTTGACTAAAAGAAACTAAGTTTCAGCATCATGGTGGCTGTGGCTCTGCCCAGAAGAAAGTACTGTAAATATATTACTCGCTCACTAATGGAAAGAACCAGTAGTGAATTTCACAGGACTTTATTATCACTTATCTCGTTGTTTGGGGAGGCTTTCCAGTAAGATTTATTAGAGAATACTGGAGATGTTTATTTCATAGATTCTAAGAAATAGTAGGCATTATTTTCCAAAGATTTTGTATCTGTTAGTCTATTCAGTACTCTGAAGCAACTCTAGGAAGATGCTGTAGCTCTCATGTTTTCATGAAGAAAGCCTGGAAGCTCAGAAAGTCTCTGATTTTTGCCCTGGTCAGTGGCAGAGCTGGGGCTATAATCTGGGTCTTCTCTCAATACTCTTTCTTCTCTACCTTCTTCCTCTTAGAGCTGCAGGTCAAGAGATGTCAAGGGATTCAGCCTCAGTTATTTCTGAAAGGTAATGTCAGTCAGGAATAAAGATAAGAATTCTCTAAATGTAGGAATTTCAGGGGGATAGTTTGTTCTTAAATTCTTAAGCTCATTCAGTTTAAAATGATTCCTATAATATGGTGCTCATTTATTACTTTAGATTCATCACCTCAGTAATGACTTTCAAATAGAACTCTATTATTAGAGTGATTGGACCGAGGTCTGATTGGACTAGAGTTAAAAGACTGCATCACTATAAGTAGAGTGAGATAAAACATTTTATAGGATTTGATTTAATTTTTTATGAGGTCTCATAAGTTGGAACCTAGGATCTTCTCTAAAAAGATACTTTGACCAATTTCCAAATTGCAAACTTCCCACTGTGGGGTTTAGGTTATAGATAGAGTGGCTGCTCAGGGGAGTTTGGGAATGAAATTATTTCCTCTGGGACTTTTAATTATGTTACCTGAGGCAGAGCTTCAGTAACTGCTGCATCAATAATTTTCCTAATCCAAAGCTTGAGGAAGTGAGATTTGTACACTGATTAGAGAATCGTCTAGAGACCAAAATGAAAACAGAACAACCCTGGAAGTTTTTAGTGTATAAGGGAAATACTAGATGTGGTTGTCTGTGTGGTCATAGGCATAGTCATTGGAGAAGGCCTTATCGGTATAGAGGAACACATTTAATGGCCTTCTTTAATAGCATCACGAGGAGATTGAAATGGATTTAAAGGCATTGCAGTTTCCTCATGATTGCATAGAATGGGCCCGATCTCTAATGTTTATGTTTCATTTTGAGAAAGGCATGTAGGAAAAATACACAGTTTGTAAAGATCTTAAGCAGTTGTGAGTTATAATTGAATAATTGGTAGTTCTAATAAAACCAGAATCTTTTCCTATCACCATGGCTCTAATATCAGTGATTCCCTCCTTTTCTCTCTATCATCATCATTATTGCTATAAAACTAGATTTTCCCAGCAATTTTATTGAAGTTTGGATAAATATTTTTATCAATTATTCTGTGTTTAAAACTTCTCATCAACATAAGACATTAATATTTAGTTGAAGGAACAGTAAAAGCACAATGATCTGTGGTTTAGAAGAGTGTTAAGAGTTTTCCCCATAATTAGAGGTGGGATTTTTAGGAAATGGTGTATCACATGCTAAAATTGAAATGGATAGGGATGAGAGTGGGAGCACAGAAGATATATTTTGCCATTGGTGTCTTGAGATAATGTCCAACCTTGAACATGACTTCTAAACTAATGTACAAATAAGTAAACTAAAAAGCAAAAAGCTACCTACCCCCCTCAAATAGAAGGTGTGTGTGCCAAAAATGGAAAGCACACTTCAAATCATATTCTTTGAATCAATGATTTTTTGCTAACAACCACTGAGGGGTGGGGCTTTAACTTACACTTCCATTTGGAATCAGGAAGTTTTTTGCTATACTTTCATACTAATGTTCATACAGAACTACATTATGCCAGTAGTAATCTTGGATAATTAATAATTGATATATCACCTGAATGATGATTGCTTTATTTTTCATTTCTCAGTGAATTAAAATACACAGTGTGATAATTTTGGCACATGACAGTTTGATTAGTAAATGTTATTTTTATTAGTTTATTAATGTTTGATTTTTTTTTCTCTCTCTCCTGGTTCCAGGGTGTGGATGAATGGAACATAGCTCGCCTAAATACAGTCTTGGATGTGGTTGAGGAAGAGTGCGGTATTTCTATAGAGGGTGTAAATACCCCTTATCTCTATTTTGGCATGTGGAAAACCACATTCGCATGGCACACCGAGGACATGGACCTCTACAGCATTAATTATCTCCACTTTGGAGAGCCCAAGTCTTGGCAAGTTACATGTTTAATATTCATTTGCTTAGGAGTTCTGAAATTTGGGCAGTATGAACCTACTGAAGAGGATTTTCTTCCCTTATCTGGTGAATTCAGATTTATATGAATTGAAAGTTTTTGAGTATAATAATTGATTGTCTTCTATTCTGCGCATGGTTTTGCTGAAAACCATAAAGTTAGTGGTGACTGGTATATCTAATGTGGCTTGCAGACCATTTTGTGGGGCATGGATTGATAGGTATTGTAGTCTTGAGGAATTTGTTAGGCATTTTTACTTTTCGGAGCATTTGTTGGAAGGTATGCTGGAAATAGTTAAGAGTGAAAGTTGACTTCATTGATGTTGAGTATTAGGTAATAATAATGATCTTCTGGTCCAGCCTCTTCTAAATAAATGACAAGAGTAGGAGAGGAGGGATGAATCAGGAGGCCTGTTACTGCTCTCTGGGTGATGAGCATGGGGAAAAGAATGTTATTGTTAATATGTGTTCTTAACTTGCAGTTTCCTGTGTTTGTGAGCCTCTTTCCTCATCTTTCTGAGCAATGACTTGACAATGTGCTGCTTTGTAAAATACATCATGTAGTACATTCTTATGTACTTGTTAGTACACATATGTAGTTGTTAGTTTGTCAGTCACCCTGGGATCCTTTGTGGTTAGCCAGTTTCATGTTTTGAATTTGTTTTTGTGGGTTTTAGTCTTAGGGAAATTTAAGTATCAATCCTATTTTCTATAATACACGTACATGCAGGAAAACAGACAGAAGCATATGAAGCATGACCTTGACCAATCCAGGAAAGATGATGTTTCAGATGGATGTGAACATGATAGGATGCTCTTCAGGTGCTTGTTTCAGCCCTGTAGCTTTCTTGCCTCCAAGTTAAAGATAATGGCCTCTTTCTAAGTTTCCCTGCTGATTAGGTGTTGAGATGCAGTAATTTGGGGATAATCTCCACCTCCATTTTGCCATTATTGCTTGCCCTTGAAGTTTTATCACGTGTTGAGATGTGAAATTGTAAATTTTCTCCAAAAACTCAGATATAGCAAAAGTTCCTAATGATCAAAAATGACATTTAGTTGGAAGGCAAGGTTTAGGTGGAAGAGCAAAGTTCTTACGGCATATAAGAAAAATTCAGGTAGTTCTGATTTTTTATGGAGTTTTGTGATCTAAAAAAGTTAGGGGGAAGCTGTTCAACTTATTTTAAAGGTGTTTTACTTGCACATTTCATTTGATAAATTCTTAGTATTCTGCTCTCTAAATGGAATAAATAAAAATTAAACATTTTTAGTAGGTGTTCTAGGACCCAGAAAGGCTTTTGTGACAGAATGGTATGATGGGACTATTCATTACATAGGTGTTTACTGAGGGCCAGTTTTGAGCACATGCTTTAGGCCCCGTGGGTCTCTGTTTGTCATACTTCTTCAGCACCACTGTAACATCTGTTGGAAAGAATGTCATCCTTTAGTACTTTTGGGACTTAACTTTGAGAGACTTAGAGAAATATTTTAAGCAATCTATAGGCACCTGGGCAGTTTCTCAGCTGCATAATTACCTCCATGCTCTTTCTGACATTCACTTTCAGTGTGAACAAAATTAAATGAAATGGGTAAATTCAACATGTTGGTAAAATCTAGTGTATAATAGGCAACTATATACTATATTTTTCTTAAGAAATCTGAAAAGTTAGTAACAAAACTTTTCTGGAGGTGTTTTAGAAGTCAGCTAATGAGAATGCCCAGGACAATAATTTGAGATTATAGTATTAGAGGAGTTTATTTTATCCCCCCCACCCATGATCCCCCCTATTAGAGGAGTTTAGATGATTATCTCTGCTTTCTTATCAAGAAAGATGATCCTCCCCCGCCCCGTACTTCCATAAGAGAATTATGTTATCTTCTAAAGATCACTTAGGGGAGAGTATTCTGGTCAGGGAGAAGACTGATTCTGAGTCTTGTGTCTTTGTGAAAGAGTACTGCTGTTCATGAGTGAGCATAATTATGCCCATTTTCAAAGAATTTTTCTGCTAGCATCTATATTTTCTGTAGTTAATTACTCTATTAGTTATTATAGATATACAGACTTCATTATATGCATTAATGGTAGATTTATAATATCACTATTATCTTTAACCTTGACCATTATTTAGAATGATAAAATAATAAAACCCAGCAGTGAGTTATGACCACTAATCTACATTCCACTTTCTAAGGTAACTACTATAGGAAAAGAATGATATAAATGACTCTAAGGATATTTCCCAGTAGATTTATGAAAGATTATATTAGTTCAGCATAAATAATTTTGAGGTAAATTCTGTTATCATTAAAATTCATTTTAGTACTCATCATAGTATATTTTAAGTGAGCTTTGAAAGGTGCAAGAAGCAATACAAATTTATGTAAATACCAGGAGGTAGGCAGTGTCTGTTGGCAGAGCTTAGATTCAAGGAACCAGCAATCTGCGCTCTAGTCCTTATTCTGCTACTAACGTCTGTGGCTTTGGACAAAAAAATGTACTCCTTTGTTTGTTTGCTTAGAAAGATTTATTTATTTAGAGAGGTGGTTGGGGGAGGGGAGCAGAGGAAGAGGAAGAGGGAGATAATCTCCAGCCGACTCCACGCTGAGCAAGGAGCCCAACTCAGGGCTTGCTCTATCTAGAAAATGAGAAGATGAAGAGGTGACATAAGGTTCTCTGTGAATGCATGTACGTGCCCTGGTTTCCTTTTCTGCTGTCTTCTCCTTGTTGAGTTGTATGTGGGATAGTTGCCTTTACTTTTCTCCAGGGGTGCCCTCACCTGTGCTTGACATCTCTGACCCTAGCAATGTGTCTTTTTCTTCTAGCCTTATAGGCTGGTGTTGAACTTTGACTTCTTCTTCTTCTTCAATTCTACTCTTAGGCATCAAGTTTTGGATATGATTATTGCAAAACTGCCTAGGATTTCCTCCTTAATTCCACATCTATGGTGCTCTCTGCTGTTCTCTGCCTGTGTATCCCTTATTTTTTGCCCGAAGGCTTTCTGGACCATCTGCTCCCCCTACCTTAGACACCTGTTTTTGCACCTTTCAGGTGCTTCTGGCTACCTCCTCACCCTTTCCTGTGTCTTCCTTGAAGTTGGGGTCTGTGTCTCTTTGCCTTTGAATCATCAGCACTAAACACAGGGCCTGGCTAGAGGACTCAGGCTCTGTACATAATTCTTGTTTGAATCAGGAGAGTGTTGTTTTGGAACAATCTGTTTAAGGGCAGACAAGGAAATATATAGAACATTATATAAAGATTTTTGTCTAAAGTGTAGCTATTAAGAACACTCATTTTCCTGGGATTTCTGAGTAGCTGCAGATGCACAGCTCCAGGTAGAAGCCTTGAGACACACTTTCCTGGGCGCTAAGGGTGGCAGATTTTGCTGAGTAAGTGTTCATGAACACAGGGTTGTACTGAAGAGACTTTAGAGGAGGTAATGATTTATTTAAACGTTTCTGGCATAAAGGTTTAGCGGAGAAAGAATGCTTTAAATAAGCACATAGAAAACTGCTTTAGCAGTCAGTGGTAAAGTATTTATTTTCTTGGAATGAACATTGACTTTGGAGCCAGAAGACCTGTTTTAAAATCTCAGTCTGTCACTTACCAGCTGTATGCCTTAGGGCAAATAATTGTACTTCTTTCATCATGAGTTTCTTTAACTGCTGAATGGAGGTGTGATTTATTCTCTGTCTCCTTATAGGATTGCTAGGAGGGTCCAGGGATATACTTTGTATAAAAGTGCTTTGTAAACTGTAAAGTACTATACAAATATTTTTAATTACTATTATTTTAATAACCTTATGAAAATACATCATTTTTTGGTCATAGTAATGACTAAGCTTGAACTTGGCATGATGTATCTGTATATAATAGAGTAGGGATTTCAAGGATAAATAAAATATAATTCTCCCTTTCAAATATCATATGTGATAGTGGTTAATTGCTGGGGGATATAGAATTTAGATGGTGCCTCGAATCCTTCTTCCTGAGACTGTGTCCAGACACAGTGAATAAGAGACTTCAGATTTACTCTCTAGAGAAGGAGAAAGGTAAGATTTGAGAGGACATGTCTTAAGCTATGAAAAGGTCTAAAATCAGGCAAGAAGTTTCTCCTGGATGTTTTTGGAAAAGTTAAGAATGGGCTGTAGTATTTTGGACTTGGTTAAATTTTATTCAACTGTGAGATTTTGTAAAAGTACCATATAGCATTAAGAAGTGTCAGATTATTCAGGATAGATAGTTTAAATTTAGTTTGATGCTTTTTCATTAGATCATTTGTTCAGTGTTGTGTGGTATTTAAGAGCATGGGTTTTTTTGTACCTGAGTCTTGTGTTTTGAGTTCTGGCATTACTTTTTACTGAGCATGTGACCTGGGCAATTATTATATAACCTTCATGCCTCAATTTCCTCTCCTAAAACACTCAGATGGTTCTAAGGTACTTGTGTGGATGAAATAAAATACAGTGTACAAAGCATGTGCCACAGCTCCTGATACATCATAAGTGCTCAATCAATAATATTCCATATATTTCAGTTAACAAATATATATTGCATGGGGCGCCTGGGTGGCTCAGTTGGTTAAGCGACTGCCTTCGGCTCAGGTCATGATCCTGGAGTCCCGGGATCGAGTCCCGCATCGGGCTCCCTGCTCGACAGGGAGTCTGCTTCTCCCTCTCCCACTCCCCGTTTGTGTTCCCTCTCTTGCTGTGTCTTTCTCTGTCAAATAAATAAATAAAATCTTTAAAAATATATATATATATATTGCATGTCTTATATATAAGACTTCATAGATCTTGTATTAATGATTCTTGGTTCTAAATGACAGAAACCCAGTTTAAGCAAAAGGACATCTGCTAGTGTATATGGTTGGGATAAGCTAGAAGCATGGCTCAATCCAGAGATCAGATGCTCCTATTGGGTATTTGTCTCAGCCTTTCTCTGCAAGTTTCCCTCTCTCCACTCACTCCCCTCCATCTCACCCC